GTCCCAGGTTTGATTCCGGTCAGGGGCACGTACCTGGGTTGCGGGCACATCCCCGGTAGGAGATGTGCAGGAGGCAGCTGATCGATGTTTCTCTCTCATCGATGTTTCTAACTATCTATCCCTCTCCCTTCCTCTCTGTAAAAATTCAATAAAATATATTAAAAAAAACAACTATAAACCTACTTTTGCCCCACCCTGTTCTTAAACCCTGATTCTTAATGTTTTTTTCATTTTTCTTTGAGAAGTTTTTATATATACTGCACACATGTATCTGTTCTTCTCATATACTTATCTAGCTCTTACATACATATATTTGTCTTTCCCAGACTATAAGCCTTATGGACAGAGACCATGTTCATGCTATATGTTCTCTTCCAGTACCTGGCACAGTGCCTAACACATAGGAATACCTTAAAAATATTTCTTTAATTGAAATGCATCCCCTTTTGGTGCTTAGACAGTGGCATGAGTGTTGTCTGGCTGCTATTTAAAGACCTTCCAGCAATATCAGTTCAGTAAATGAACATGGCTTGAATAAGCTGATGACCAGATTCTTATTTAAACCTGTTCATAAATATAAATACAGTGACACATTTGCTTCTTCTAAAAACTAGATATCATATTCTATTTTGGTCGAAAGAATTAGCCGAAGTACACAATTTAGTATTGTGAGATTAGTTTTAAAATATGTGAATGTGGCAATATCCAGTTGGTTGGTAGTGACAATGGCCAGGGAAGACTATTTAGGGTGAGCAGTAGGAGAAAATGAGGGAGATGGTGGTTAGACTTAACAAAAGTCAGAGAAGTGATAAGAGGTTTAAAATAAAAAGAGGAGAAGAGAAATAGAAATAAAAAAAGAAAAGAAAATTGAAGCAAATAGAACTCGACTAGAGAGAGAAAGAGAGAGAAGACAGAAAATAATCTTAAAACAACAAAAGAATAATGAAGAGCATGATCTGGAGGTAAAATGTTTGGCTGTTCTACTCTGGCTCTGTTCTCCTAAGGCCAGCCAGCCCTTCCCCCTTGCTTTCTTTCTATATTATTTTTACTTTTTTAAATAGTTTATTGACTTTTAGAGAGAGAGGAAGGGAAAGGGAGAGAGAGAAACATTGATGTGAGAGCATAACACTGATTGTCTGCCTCCTAAAGGCCCCCTACTGGGGATTGAGCGTCAACCCCAGCATGCACATGTGCCCTTGACCAGAAATTGAACTGGCAACTTCTGGTGCACAGGATGATGCCCAACCAACTAAGCCACACTGGCCAGGGCACTTCTCTCTTGCTTTCACTTTTGCCCAGTTGTCTCAGAATCAGGTGGGAGGATCCAGCAGGGAGCCCTAGTACCTCAGAGTACCCTGAGATCTTCTGATTACAGCCCACGATGGTTACAGCCAAGTAATTCAGCTCCCAATGGCAGCCATGGATGTCTAGAGCTTAGTGAATCTAGAGAGCATGGCCTACTAGAAGTAGCATGAACAGATGGATCCAGACTGAGGAAGGTCATAAAATGATTAAATGGGAGGAGTGAAAGATATAATAAAATTCTCAAAAGGAGAGGGAACCTGGAATAGGGGCATGCTCTTACATAATAAGACATTTGGGAAATATATATCTCCAAGTGATTCCTGTATGTCAAAGTTTCCATTAATTCATTCCACTATTTAGTTACAAATCAACATTATTTTAATCCTTGAACTTTATGAAAATTACTGTGAAAATGAAATATTTCATTAAAAAACCCAAACAGACCATTTTCTAATATCTAATTTCTATTTACTTCTGTTATTTCTACCACTGACTCTTCTCCCTCCACACTTTCCTTCAGGAAAAGTTTCTCTCTCTAGGGATTTGTCATGGGATTGAACTTAGATTTCACAAAGACAGGAGGATCTATACCAGGAGTGGGCAAACTTTTTAACTAGAGGGCCACAATGGGTTCTTAAACTGGACTGGAGGGCCGGAACAAAAGCAGGGATGGAGTGTTTGTGTGAACTAATATAAATTCAAAGTAAACATCATTACATAAAAGGGTACGGTCTTTTTTTTCAATAGTTTTATTCATTTCAAACAGGCCGGAATCGGCCCGGACCGTAGTTTGCCCACGGCTGAATTCTATACTCTGCTGTTCACTGATCTTGTGTCCTTTTCTAGAGTTCTCCCTGATTGCCTTTCATCCCTAACCCCATCCACATTCGAGGATGAAAAAAAATCCTCCAGCCATAATGAGCTTCTTTAAATTCTTTGAATTGACATGTTTTTCTTACCTTTGGCTCTCTCTCAGTGCTATACCCCCTACTGGAAAACTCTTTCTCCTCCTAATCTCCGTCCCTGTTCAAATTACACTCACTCTTCAGGTCTTAGTGTAAAAGTCACTTCCTCTGGGCTTCATGTATACTTCCTTCTGTGTGTGCTGTCCTCCATCAGAGTGTCTAGTTTTAGCAGCCTGTCTACTTGTCTATCCCTCTACTCAGCTTGGTGAGGTTGGAGATGTTGCCTTATTAACTCTTTTATCTTTAGCACCCAGCAGTCTCTCTAACTAGCAAGCATTCAATAAATAATGAATGAATAAGAAGGCCAAAGTCTTTGTGCTAACCTTCCCCTACTCCTCTTCCTGTCATCTAAGCTGGTTCTTTGAAATAACTTGTTTGGTAAGTTTATCTTCCAATATCCACCTCCTGCCCAATAGAAAAAACTGACAATTCTAGTAAGTATTCATTTTTTCCCCCAGCCCTCAGATTAGAAGTTACCTGATCAATCTTTAATAGGTATTTGCATGATCAGGGCTCTATGATAAGGTGGTTGCTTCTCCTGTTAATTCCTAACATTCTTTAAATTATAGCATGACTGATTAGGAATAATGCTATACTGCCTCTAACCTACTCCATAAATGTATAGTATATGGATAGGTGAATGAATGAATGCAATGCAGTGCAATTTAACTAGTCACCTTCCACATCCCCAGTAGGGATTATGTCACTCCAGCTCCTGCATATTAGTGATAAAGCAATATTTTCACTGACTGCACCCCCCCCCCCCCAGCATCGTTATCTTTTCTATTACTCAGTATGCTCTGCCCATTGCTAGTTCTCTGGCCATTAGAACTCTCTTTGACTACATCCACCTGTTCCTTTCCAGAACTTTGGTTTCGGAACTGCGTCTCTCCTAAGTAAGAGCAGAGGCTCAGGGCATGCTCAGTAAACAAAGCCGGGTGTAATTTACTGCTCTGGCCTTGCCTTGGAGTCCTGACAGGTGGCAGGTATCCACCATGCTGGCAAAGGAGACTTGCCCTGTTTTGTACAGCTGAACATATTTCCCCCCTAGGCCAATCTAATGTCCTGGCAACCTAAGTTTAAACAGTGGGAACGTCTTCGTTTTAAAAACAATAAAACAGAAGGAATTATTTTGAAAAAATTAAAATGACTAGCAGGAGATTCTCAGAGCACAGACTACATGAATATCAAGTGTTAAGTGATGTTGTGGTGAGGACACACGAGGACGGAGGCGGGGGATGAATGGAAGTGGTACCTATCTTTAACCTCATTGGGCAGATCAAGATTTTTAAAAGGGGTCTCTGAGATTGCTCAGCCCCAGAGTTTCAAGGACCTTCCTAGTCGCTGCCTTCTTGCTAAGAGGGCGCGTTTCTGGGGAGGCGATGCGTGCACGCGCCGGAGGAGGGCAGGCTCGGAGAGGGGCCACTGCTCTCCTGAATAAACAGCAGGGGGAGAAGGGGAGCGCGGCGGAGGACCGAGGGAGGGGAGAGGACTCCGGCTGCTGGGGCAGGGCGGGAGGAAAGGGTTGAGACACGCCCCGGGGCAGGTTGCTGGAGATCCGAGCGCCTCGGAGACTCAGAGCGGCTGCGGGGCGGAGCTGACAGCGGGCTCCGAGCGGCGCACGCCCTCGCCAGCCCTGCGCTCCCACGTCCCCAGCTCCTCACTCCGACCTCGCGCGCAAGGTAAGGAGGGGCGCGGGGTGCAGCCCTTTTCCGAGCGCGGCCCGGCCGGTGTACCAGGTGCGGTTCGGCGTCCACAGGCTATCACCTTCTCCCTCCCTCGCCCTTTCCGGGTCTCCTCGGCATCCCGGAGCTCTCGGCGGGCTGCTCTCAGGGACTCGGGACCCTCCGCCACCCCCACTTTTACTCCGCGGCCCGTTGGACCCCTGCCTCCTTCCTTCTCTCACTTTCCTCACCCCCCGGGCAGCTCCCGGAACCCCGCACCTCGGGCTCTGGGGGAGGAGGCGGGTCTTCCACCCTCATCAGGTGTGGGGCGCAAACACCGGCACCCGCCCCCTCTTCCCCCCCGCCCCCCGCTCATCCCCCCAGGGTGCAATGATTTTCCGGCTGAAATATCACAGCTCCTTCTGTTACCATTCTAACTTTGGGGCGGGGGGGCGGTCAAGGGCGGTATAGCGTCTTTC